AGCTCTGCGGGGGGTGCGGAGCTCCAGCCGGCGAGCTGAGAAACCGCCTCATCCCCGAAAGAAGAGTTTTTTATAAGCAAAACCAAGCGTATTGTCCCAAGCCAGGTCCTGCTCCCAGTAGAGCTCCAGGCTCATGGTCCTGCCACCACCAGGCAGCTTCCACATCACGTTGGCTTTCACTCCATCCACTTCAAGCTGACTCAGGCTCAGCTAAACACAAGGATCTCTGCGTCTCCCCAGCAAGCTCCGGAGAGCATCCTGACACCGCAGTTCGGTCCCACTTTGCTGTGCTTAAGCAGGAGGATAAAAACCATCCTGTGACTCAGTGAGGTTTTCCTAAAGCAAGAACTCGACAACAAGGCGAGAGCCCGAAATGTGCTAATAAACTGATTTAGTGATTTGGCTGTCGCGTCGAGCGGCTCAGTTTGCTTTCAGCAGAGCTGAAAAGAAATCTGCTCGTGGGTCTTTTCTTTAAGTGCTGATCCTGAACACACTGATACACCTCCAGCTTCTACTGCCAGAGATCCGTCAGGACATGGAGGGGAAGCAGGTCTGTGGGTGCAGGACTCGTGCCTCCATCCAGGCCAAAGCTCAGAGCTGCCTCTGAGAGCTCCGGCTGGCGCGAGCTGGACAGATGGACATGGCACAAACCCACTGCCTTGGGCTGGAGACTCTTTTACACACGTCCGCCCCTCCCCGAACCAAAGTGTGGCAGTAAAACGCCCTCTTCCTCAGCGGGACACCAACACACACCTCACTCAGAGCAGCTTGGCCGACTTAACGAATTGTCAAAGATCTTCTACATCACGTACCTGCCTGTAAAGCTGAACAGAGCTGTACGACAGAGCAGCGATTCAGTATTTTTGATATATGTATCCAGAAGTTAGATTTTCTTGTTTTCCTGTTGTGCTTTTATGCACGTGAGTTTGAAGGCACCATCTGTTATTGATATATAGGACCCCATAAACATGCAGATTGATTCTCCTGGCTTACCTAGGATAATCATTTAGCTTTGTTTGTATTAAACAGGAGCAAATTGATTTAATCCCCATGCTAATGCTGAAAACCCTTCAGGCTTCTGCAGATAAGGAGGAATGCCTTAGCCCATGTCACCTGTACTGGTACGCCTGCTGTTTGCAGCTCAGATACAGCAAAGTCCAAGACTGGACTCAAATAATTTGCTAAACCGCTTTATTTTTTTTTCTCTGGAAGGCAAGGGGATGCTGTGTGTTCACTGGCTTCATTTACCACGTTTTGCACCACGAGGCAGAGCTGATCTTTTTCCACGTTTGATGAGACCACGTGGCTCCAGCTCCCACCGGGACCTTCCCATCAGGTCACTGGTCCCCTCGCCCCGGCACAGCCCCGCCGCTGCGGCAACA